CTCCACCTCCCATCTCCCTACCCGCCTCCTTCTCCCTGTCCACCTCTCTCCCTCTCCAGCTCCCTCTCCCTCTCTACCTCCCTCTCCCTCTCCACCACCATCTCCCACCCCCTCTCCCTCCCTCTCCCTCGCCCTCTCCACCTCCCATCTCCCTCTCCACCTCCTTCTCCACCCCCTCTCCGTCTCCACCTCCCATCTCCGTCTCCCTTCCCTCTCCCTCGTCACCTCCTCCTCCACTTCCTGTCTCTCTTCTCTGTGTCTCTGCTCTCCGAACTCCTTGATCTCACAGCGTGGTGGTGTAGTCCTGGGGAAATGATACAGACAGGCCACAGCAGGGAACAATTTGCCGCAAGTAGGCCGCTGAAAGTCACCTGCCTCTTGGGTAGCCAGATGCTTGGCCTGCCTCTGGCTCTGTTTAGGGTAAAGTACATTTCGAGTGGCCTAAAATACAAATGTGCCCCATCACGTCCTGCGACCTATTCAGTGATTTTTTATCCGTCAGAGGGCGAGCCTTCTTCTTGTGATCTGATAAATGAAGCCACCATGCTCCCCTGAATAGCACGCACGGTTGGTATAGTCGTATTTAGAATCAATGTTGCCCCCAATACAGCTAAATTGACTGTGCGTCCTTCGGTGTCAAGACGGTAGTGGCAACCCGGCTATCTATATGCTCATATTAGCCAATTTTCTGATGATTAGTTGGCAGACGAGCGCATTGGGCCTTTTACCTATTGTACCTATTGTACAGGTTGTCAAGGGGTTCACAACCATAATCGCATGTTCATCCCCTCCCTCCACCCTTCCCCCCCCCGCTGAAGTCGTTTCATCCTTCTTGAGACTTCCTTCAGCAGCTCTATCCTTCCTCCTGATTATTGATCAAGAGAAGGGTGCAGAGAGCCATCAGAGAGCCATCTTCACTTCTCTTCTCTATTTCTTCAGCGTCGGTCTAATTCATGGTTCCAGTAAAGGGAGAGAGAGAGAGAGAGAGAGAGAGAGAGAGAGAGAGAGAGAGAGAGAGAGAGAGA